ATCTGCTATGCCCTTTGGCACTTAATTTTAATTGAAGGCCTTTTTTCTTTTGTTACCAGGTCATCGCACATCTTTTAAAGCCTCGTGGATGGAAACCTCCAGTTCGCCGTCAATTTTTCTTAGATTGCAATGAAATAGCAGATCTTTGTGACAATGCGGAGAGGATATTTGCAAGTGAACCAAGTGTTTTACAACTTAGGGCTCCGATCAAGATATTTGGTGATTTGCATGGACAATTTGGGGATCTCATGCGTCTTTTTGATGAGTATGGTGCCCCATCAACAGCTGGTGACATAGCGTAAGTACTTATGCTTGCATTTTCTTATACAATTACTTGAATATTTCCTATTTGTTTTATTTCTCAATCAATCATTCCCCTGCAATGGGTTCATCTCGAATGTCCTAGTAAAAACATCTTTGCAATTAATTGTGCAAAATGTAGTTTGTATTTGCATTCATTGGTTTCTGCTCTTAATTACTCTGGAATGATTTTTGGTTAAGTTTCTCTATTGTAGGTTTATCTATGAATAACTATTCAATTAGTTGTTCAGTGGTGTGGTCAGGGTAATTACACATTCGTGAGAGTATGGCGGGTGGAATTGGTTGGTAATGATGGATCAGGTGGTAATGGCGTCTATGGTAGGGAGGCGGTGGTTGTTATAGAGGGGTTAGACTTTGTGTCAAATGAATGGCATAGGCTCTTTCAGTTATGATGATTCAATGTGGGTGGTCGGAGCAATGGTGATGGTATAAGAATGAGTCTCTGGGAGTAGTGGGTTATTGGGTGGCAAGTGAACCTTCTTCAGGGTTGGTAGTACTATATTGTTTAGGCTACTGTTTCTCTTAGTAATATGGTTTGTAAATGTGTTGACTTGTTTAAGTGAATCATTCTGCATGTGATGGCATATAACATAAGTGGTTGAAGTACTTTTATTATAGCGTACTAACACAGCACAAAGTGAAAAACCTGCATGTGTCTGATAAGGAAATAAAAACCTTAACTGTTCTATTTTGAATAACATAAATAAACTGAAATCTAGTTGAAGTACTCAAGTGCATTAGGTCACCATCATGAGTACAAAGGAAATGTCAAATATTTCTTGTAGTAATTACTTGGACAAACACAAAATAATGTCAGCTATAAATCATCCCTTAATCAAAACATAAAAGAAGTCAGCACTTTTTCATTGAAACAGGTTTACGGTGGATAGCTAAATTTTGTGTTTCACTGGTTATCTGAAATAAAAACAGGAGCTTTCAGCTCTCTGTTATTTTCCTTTTAAATCTATATTTAATACCTTGTAGAAGAAACCTTTATTTAATGCCTTGTCTCTGATGTATGAATGACTATCAGGTATATCGATTATCTCTTTCTAGGAGATTATGTTGATCGGGGCCAGCACAGCCTGGAAACAATTGCTCTTTTGCTCGCCTTGAAGGTACCTTTTGGGTTGGTTCTCATTTTTGTGTTTCTGATCTTTCTCCTCGTCCTTATCAGACTTTCTGTGGCTTGATTTTGTAATTCGATGTTGCAGGTTGAGTATCCCCACAATGTACATTTAATTCGTGGGAATCATGAAGCTGCAGATATCAATGCGCTCTTTGGCTTCCGAATTGAGTGCATTGAACGCATGGTATTATTTAGTTTGCATTTGAAAAATGTCTGTCGTCCATTATCGAGATGCAATTATTAAATTGATGTCTTAATAAACAGGGTGAGAGAGATGGAATCTGGGCATGGCATCGAATAAATCGTTTGTTCAATTGGCTTCCTCTGGCAGCACTAATTGAGAAGAAAATTATATGTATGCATGGTGGTATTGGTCGCTCTATAAATCATGTGGAACAAATTGAGAATCTTCAGAGCCCAATTACAATGGAAGCAGGTTCCATTGTGCTTATGGATTTATTGTGGTGAGTGCATACCTCTGTTGGTTACTTGCCATTGTGGTTATTTTATCATAATCCATTTGCCAATAAAATTTTGTTATGATTATCTCTTAGGTCTGATCCAACAGAGAATGACAGTGTGGAAGGATTGCGACCAAATGCTAGAGGGCCGGGATTGGTTACTTTTGGGGTGAGTTTTTTAATTTCTTTTATTTGTTTTTGATTTATTTTCGCTATCTTAGGATTTTCTGCTGCCTTAAATTTCCACTATATGGTATAAACATCTGCAAGCAAGGATGATAACAAAACTTTTTTCGAAATAAATTTCAGTTGATAAAAAGGGGTTTGTATTTTTTAAGTTGATTTAATTCTATGATATCACTTGGTGCATGGATGTAAATGTCTATGAATAGTCCAAATAGGATATAAGATTTATTTGTGAGATTTCTCAATATTAAGAATTTTGCTGGATAACAATTTTATTTTAATATAAATTCTCACAAACAATGACATGTATAGCAAATTTTAGGTCCTTTTGAAGCTAAGTGTATATGTATATTTTGGTCTTCCAAAGACAGTTTGGGTACTAATTCTTTTGAGAAATGTTGAATTTAGTTAGACATCGATGGTACCATAAACTAAGGGATTTCGAAATATAAAAATGCATGCATAGAAGGTTTAGTATCTGTAAATGATGAGGCATGTTAGGCCAAGTAAAGCAGTTCTTTAATTTGTGATAAGAGGCAGGTTAGCTTGAGCAAAGCAGTTTTTATGAATTGCATTCTGCTGCTTGGAGCTGTTGCATCTGCATTTATGAGATTCACTTTCTGAAATTCATGGATTGTCGTTCCGGGATCCTGTAGTACTCACATTTTGCCTTAATCCAACCTCCGGTCTTTAATGGGTTTGCAATGTGTAGGTATCTTAATTTTAAGCAAGCACCGTAACTTGCTGAATGAGCTTGGTAATTTCACATCAAGTATGGGTCTCTAGCAGTCATTTTAACCCAATAATTTAGTGAATGCTGTCTGATGGTTAGAACAGAAATCAGTTAAAGTAAGTTCGATGGAGTGACATGACATTTGGGCTCTACTGTTTGTATGAAGAAAGTTCTCTTGATTGTCAGATGAAGTTGAGTATATATGCTCTAGGTTTCTTCAGAATCCCAATGTTCAATAAATTCGTGCAGTCTACATAGTAAATTCCAAATTTGAAATTAGCTTCTATATTTCTTTAGTGATTTTTGGGGCTGATCCACTTGTAGATGGGGCATTTCTACGTTTTATCTTACCTGTAAGGATCATGCCTGTTCTATATCAAGAAGGATTATTTACTTGCGCATATTGCTCCAAAATATTATGCGGTTAAAAAGTTTGTAATCGGGGATTTCGTTTGTTTTGTGGGTTATGCTTAAGGGGTTTGCTTTTGCAGCCTGATCGTGTAATGGAATTTTGCAACAACAATGATCTTCAGTTGATTGTACGTGCACATGAATGTGTGATGGATGGTTTTGAGCGCTTTGCTCAGGGACATTTAATTACGCTATTTTCAGCCACCAATTACTGCGGTATGTTCCCAGGATCTGCATTGTCATCCATGTGGCTTTGGAATGCAACATGGTCTTTTAGCCTTTGTGGTTTTTGTTCTGGCATTTTACTGCAGGTACGGCAAATAATGCTGGGGCAATCTTAGTTTTGGGTAGAGACCTTGTGGTGGTTCCTAAGCTTATTCATCCTTTACCACCAGCAATTTCATCGCCAGAAACATCACCAGAACGCCATATAGAGGATACATGGATGCAGGTGCTGCGACTTTCTAGAATGTTTTCCCTCTTCCATCAAAAGATCAATTGAGCAGTGGTTCTTTCTATTTGTGCAAAACTTTTTACACTTATTTTTATTTCAATTGCTTTCCGTGCAAAACAGGAGTTGAATGCTAACAGACCACCTACACCAACTAGAGGTCGACCTCAAGCAGCAAATGATCGGGGTTCTCTTGCTTGGATATAGTAATTCACTGCAATTGTTACTTTGCACTTGTTATCGGGGTCCCCCCTGCCACATTAGGTTTCTGGTGTTCTATATAAAACTCACAATGCCGCGTACAGGACTTCCCAAACTCGTGATCATGTACATGTTCTCCGCATGGATAGTAGTATTAGGTCTTGGGATGAGAAGATTCGGATTTTTGAGTACACCAGCTTGCAGGTGGCTGAGTAGGTTTTCCCATGTGCTAAACAAAAGCTCCAAGACGGAACCATCCATCTCTGTAAATTGATCGACATGCAGGTAGAGGTCCGTTGTGGTGGTTTATTTGGGTGGGGTCGGTCGCGGTGGGTATTTTTCTTAATTAGTTTTATATATATATTTTTTTTTCCTCCTCGATTTAGGCCTAATATTTTTTTTGTTCGAAATCCTTTTCCCAGAGGGCATGGGTCCTTACATGTGAGCGTATATGTTATACTTGAAAATCTGTGTTGGTCCTTCTGTATCATATTAAGTGCTGCTGCCTTTGTGTAATTCTCAATTGTGCTTTGTACAATTGTAACTTTCTGTGTGATGATAAGAAAGTTTTTTTCTTCTGACGTAAAAAATTTGGAGGGTTTTTGTCCTACCATGTTTCCTTACTCCTTTGTTCACTTTAGAAAAACCTCTAAGAAGGCTATACATACATATATATATATATATATATTTATATATAGTATCGGTTAAGATTGCATTTCTGAAGCTGGCAACGAAACCCGCTTCTGTATTTGATGCCTTCATTTCAGAGAATGTAGAGAGATCAAATGTGTAAAAAGTGTTTTTGGTGAGCATCTCTTACCCAGAAGAAATACATACGAACAGGACGAGACATTTTAAAAGACTTCAAGCCTATATATATACATATATATATGAATAATAAACTGTGAAGATTAATGCTTGTTCTTTATAAATTATAATTTTTGTATGTAAAAGTATTACACTGATACATCACTTGGGTGGGGTTGTTGATATTATACGAACTATATATATATATATATATTTTAAACAATATGATTTAATTATATGTATGTATATATATAAAAAAAAAAGGGTAGCATGAAAGTGAGGGAGTGAGTCAATTAAGGTTTTTATTAATTGCAGCAAAACTCCAACAAGAAGAAAGCAAAGTGGAGTGGTGGTGTCTCATCTCTGTACGGACACAATCTTCTTAACTCACAACAAATCTAAATCTCTCTCTCAAAAATTGTACGGACCACCCATCAATCTCTCTCTCTCTCTCTCTCTCTCTCTCTCACCTTCTATATATATATATATATATATACACACATATACATACACACAGAGAGAGATATTATAATTGAATTATTATTTCATTTATAAATTACTTAAAATCAAGATTTAAAATTTGATAACATTCAAAATCTATTTTCCAAAGTAAACTTAAAATATTTTGTATATAAATCTCACTTTTAACACACACACACACACACACATACATATATACATATATATATATATATATTCATGGTAAGGTATAGCTACCCATAATTGGGTATACGTATACATATATATATATATGTGTGTGTGTATCTATTTTGGATAAAAATTGGAGTCCTTTTTTTTTTTTTTTGTATGGCAATAATTGGGAAGATTTTGAAAGATTTGGCAGGGGACATGAGTGTATGGTCTTTGCTCAGCACCATAATATTGCATCCTAACCATGCCCACCAACTCTATATATTGCTTCACCTTTTTCCTTTTTTTTTTTTCTTCTGGTTCTCGGTAATTCTCGATTTCAGCCATATCTATATCTATACATATATATATATATATATATACACACACACACACCTTTCAAATTTGAGAACCATTTTTACTTATTGCTTGCTTCTATATATACATATATAATTGATGAATATACATTACGTGGTGGGTCACTTAAGTATATATATATTATTATATATGTACGGACAATCTTCTTAACTCGCAACAAATCTAAATCTCTCAAATACTCGTGTACGTATGTATATATATATATGTAAATCTATGGACGGAATTTACTCGTCTTAAATATTTTTGAAGTAAAAGTTCATATTAATTGTATAATTAATTAAGTTCTTAACATATATATATATATATGTGTGTGTGTGTGTGTGTTAAAAGAATTGTTGGTAAATGATACGAAGTTAAGTATGGTAATTAAAAAGCTTGCCTGGGACAACATGACGCGACGTAATTAAAGAAATTTGTCTGTGACAAAATGTTTTTGAGCACACACACATCTATACATGCAATTTTTTATTATTATTAATGTTGTTATTCCCATGTATGTATATATATATATATATACATGGAATTTTTCATTGTTATTAATATATATATATATATAATTATATAAGCTTTAATTATAAGGACCAGAATTTTTTATTGGCTAATTTTATCTACCACGTACTCATGTCTCGTTTTTTATATGGATCAGAATTTAAAGAATGTTCACCCACCGAAATTTATTAGTGGATATGCTTATTATATATATATATATATATATATATATATATATTCACACACGCACACACACATATATATATATATATATATGTGTCTATGTATGTATAGGCACAATAAGATGGATGATGACTCTTGAATTAATGTTCCTTTTACATGATGTCATTTTACACTGTAAGTAATGATTCTTGTCTAGCATTATGCCATGTCGTCCATGTTACGCCTCCCCTTTTTATTTTTTCAAAAACCCTAATTTAAAACATTATATTATAATTAATATTATATATATATATATATTATAACATTAACGAAATATGTATATATATATATTTGATTAACAAATTAAATAAAATTGAAGTTAAATTATTGTTTTAATTTTATATAACAAGTCAAATTTGGTATACATTGGAATTAAGTAATTACTTCAGAGTGTTATATGTATGCTTATTACATTATATATATACATATATATCTATATATGTATATATATATATTCTGGAGTTGATTATTGAACAGGAAAATCCAAAATTAGGGCATCTAAAACCTATTAGGATAAAATGGTATCCATTTTCATGCTGAGAGGAAAACAGCCTGGAGATATTTTAATGATAAACACCAATTTACAAAATATAATATAAATTAATAATAATAATTTATCTATGTATATATATATATATACACACACGTGTGTAAGCAGAAGACATGCACGTGTAGGGTTTGAGTTTGCATGTGTGAGAATATACGAAGGTTCTGCTAGGCTGGGAATCAATATGGGCAAGTTGTGAGTCGTGTGGCTCACTCCCATGATCATCATGGACCAGCCACATATATATATATATATAAATGTAGATGTATATATGTGTTTGTCTCACCCACCATAAATATATACACACACACGCACACACACTAAATATTCAACAAAACCCATTAATCTGATGGTTAATATAAATATATATACATATACATATACATATACATATACATATATATATATATAATATTTAATTATAATCTTTTGTAACATGGCATTATTTTTGGGAAAAACAATAATTTATAATTTAGTTGTTTGGAAAAAATATTAAAAA